TCCCCTGTGTTTGTGGAAGTTACGCTGTTGGCTGCATGGGAATCCGTCCCATACAAGCTGCCCACCCCCGCTGTGAGGTCTGTTAAAGCTGCCTGCCCCCACTCTCCCGCCCTTCTTCCCCCCAACCCTCCAGTGCCACCATTTCTCCCCTTCAGTGCGTCTATTTGATGTGTCCACAGTGAGTTTGGATGCTCAGGGAGGAGGAGGCGGAGTCCTGGAAGCTTTGATTGTTTAGGAGGACTTGGGATGTTGTTTGAAAGATGGGCTGGTGGTGGGACGGACATCCTCTTATGAACCTATGCACCTTTATTGCAGGCGGTGATATTGGTCATTCTGTGGCTACTCCTGGCTCCACCCTCTCAGTCTCAGTTTCCCTTCCTATAAATTCCTGTTTGCCTTTGTTTTTTCAGGCTTGACTAATTATCCTTGTTTGTACCTCTTTATTTGAATTCAGTCATGTGTTCTTGACTCCGTGGGCTGGGTTTAGGAGAATCATTCCGCCATTTGCCACTTAATTAAGTCAGGGTCAGGATCCATTGCTCAACGGAGAGCTGAAGGGAGAGCGCTCTAATAGAATTATAAAAGAGGCCTTTCTCTACTGTTAGGGCTGCCTTTTATCTAGGTGGACACTGCGTAGGCAAATGAAAGGGGACACCAGGAATCCCATTTCCTCTTCAGGCTCAATAGGCATTTTGATGTTTGCACAAGATTTCTTTTAAGTCAAATTTGCTGGGAGAAAGTTTAAACAGTGACGGTCAGCTGTGAGATAAATTTAACATACTGAGCAGGTTTGTGGTGAAGAAAAAAAAAGAAAAAAAAAAGAAAAGATGGTGGTATTTTTATTGGCACCTCAGCGCTCCTCTCTGTCCCCTAAGCAACACAGAAAATCAGGACAAATATGTGCTAAAGCCAGGGTGGTGTTCCTGCAGCCCACGCGCATGTGTAACCCTTATGTGTATAAAACAGTAAGCATCAGTTTAATTTCCTTAATGTCCCCCATGCTGTGAAAATGCACTCCCTTTCTCCCCCTCGACACCTCCCCTCCGACTCTTTGAGCTGCAGTTTTGACATGCTAAATCTTCTGATTTTATTTTTCTTCCTCCTGTGGTGAGGAAGTGTCCTTTTCAAGGCTCTCAGTTTCCCCCCCGACTGTCTAAACCTCAACTCTGGATTGTTTTTCTTTTTCAAACAAAAGACGGAGGGATTACCATTTCACTTCCTTCCACATGTTCTTTCAAGTAATAGCAGCTGGGGGATTTTTAAAAACCACTGCTTGCTTGCTTTAGCCCTTTTTTTTAAGTGCACATCTAAAAAGAGCTGTGGTTGAATTTAGCAGCCGGCCATTAGCAGCGAGCAAGGCCTGGCTTTTGGCTGGTTTTGTAGTGGGGGCTAACAAAGTGTCCTCAGGGCTCTTTTCTGAGATGTTGACATCTTCTTAATGGCTCTCCTCGGCCTTTTTGTTTCGCATCTTGGTGCTAACTTTCTGCCTCATTTAGCTCATATCAATTCACTGGGCTCCACAGATTCGGCGTCTCATTCACAGCCAAGCTTTCTCAAACACGCTTGTTTTGGACATCAGCTCTCACTGCTCATTTTTTTACCATCCTTGTGTTGTTGTCAAAGATTCTTCCTCCCTGGATTACGTTGTGGTTACATAGTTTTAGACTATCTTTATTCCCTTCTTTGGCAGTAAAACAAGACACTTGTTTTCAAAGGGTCCACCGGAAATAGGAGGGGAGGGCAGTACGGTCCCTTCCTGCTCTGAGCAGTCCACCGCCTCTAAGGCCAATTGATTTGCTAACAGGATTGTTCCCACATAATGAGTGAGTAGGGATTGATGGAGGTCTTACACCATAAAACTGCGAGCCACCGCAATTGCCTGCCATTAGAGTTGTATTGTTGTTCACATAATACCCTCAACTCCTTAAGAAAAGATTTGCTTATAGCGGAGCAGAGGAAAGGACTTTGCGTCTCCTCCACATTTTCTCCCTTCAGCTGTTAAGACAATTTTAGGTGGTGGGAGAAGTTACTTTATGAGCTTGCGCACGTAGTTTGCAGTTAATCAGTTTGTGCGCGAGCACTTTTCTAACTCCTGTAGTTAGAGCTGCTTCCATGACGCCCTGCGTTGGACAAACAGCTCAGTGAAGGGAGTCAAGCTGCTGAGTCCGAAAACAGTGACGAGCCCGAACTGGGAAAATAAAAGTTATAAGAGAAACATTGTTAATAAATAAATAAACATAAGCCACAAATATGACAACATATATTTAATATGCAACAAGGCTTTCTGTACCCTAGTCCTACCCTTGTCCTTATTAGAAATAAAGTAAATACTACAGCTGAAGGTAGAGCATAAATCCAGTAAAGGGAATATTAGGACATAATGAAAAATAGCAAATAAAATAAAATATGGCAAAGCAGCAAAAACCTTTAACCAAGACAGACGTAAAATACTATAATCATACTAAATCAGTATAATTATATTTAAATTATATTTTAATATTATCTCATTATATTGCAACCGCATTTATAAAATTTACGTTAATTTATAATTAATTACAGAAATTGTCTTTATCTTTCTTAGCAACAGGAGTAAAAACCTCAGTCTGCTGTTCGATATGAAAACAAAAAAATTCCCAGACATGTAGTTAAGAACCTGAATAAAAAACCCTTGCATTAACTGTATGCATATTACAATGCTACATTTCCCATTATTTTCTTAACATTTCATTGCTCATCTAATAGGTTTATTTTGGTTTTCAGGCTGCCGCTGTGATTATAAAAGGTGAATTTAATGGAAAGAATTAAAGTGAAACACATTGTCAGTTAGTACTTGCTGCTGAGCCCCGGGCCCCGTCGATAAAAGGTCCCACGAGAGCCTTGTCACTCCAGCTAGCATCAGTGCTTACACTTATTTGTACAGACTCCCTTCTTCCTGTCAGTCACCCCCGATCCTTAACAACAGCACCTCTTATCACAGCAGCTGACAGGGTCACAGGGTCCCAGTTTCAGTGCCACACTGGGCATCCCCAGTCATTCAAATATTTATATTGATTTTTTTTTCTTTATTTTTGAACAGTTTTTGTGAAGACAGAGAATGAAACAGGGTCAAGATGAAGAGCACGAGATAGAATTTGTTCCGAGTGATAGAGAACTAGAAGTCTTCCATGAGCTCTATTTTCTCCTGCAGGCTGAAGTGACGGAGCCCCAAATCGCTCTGTGCCTCTCTGGCTGCCATTCAGCCCCATCGATCTGACTCGGAGCCCAGCCACCCCAAGGGAGGCCGGGGCTTAGAGACTCGCGCCTCTTTTGTGGAGGATTCATCAGTTCAGAGTGACAGCCGACAGTGCTGATAAAGAAACGTTTCACTCCTTCCTGTATTGTCCGCTGCAGACATGCTGTTGGAGATGTGTAACCTTTAGAAAGCTGGCCAGACTCCAACCGTCTGTAATCACTAAAATGTGGGATATTGCCCACAGTGTCACAGCCTTTGGCATTCACTCATCTCTCCAGCCTATCTCACTGTATTATTTCCCTTTCTGAGCACTGAGGCTAGTGGCTTTGCTGCGCTTCCTATAATTTACAAATGTCACTTTATACCAGCGAGTCTCTCAGAACAATTACTGTAATATTTCCCCTGTGTGTCTTGTGTATGCAATATATATTTTTTTGCCTTTAGACTGCTGTCTCTAGAATAGGAAATATGCATTGAGAGTTGCTAAATTACCCAAGGCATGTTTCACCCCGCCTCACCTGTAGCGTCCCTGTCATCTCCGTCTCTCCAGGGAGGAGAAGGAGCGCTGGATTCGAGCCAAGTACGAGCAAAAGCTGTTCCTGGTGGGGCTGCCCCAGTCCGACGTGCCTCTGGGTCAGCAGCTGCTGAGGGCGGTGGTGGAGGACGACCTGAGGTTGGTGGTGGTGCTGTTGGCCCATGGCACCAAGGAGGAGGTTAATGAGACTTATGGAGATGGAGATGGTCGCACTGCTCTGCATCTGTCCTGCGCCATGGCCAATGTGGTCATCACACAGCTGCTGATCTGGGTGAGTGGGTCTTGATGGTTTTTACAGAGAGCAGTAGATCTTTAAATATGGCTGACAATAACAATGCAGTGTTGCAAAGGTGTAAAATATACCTGGTGTTTGAAAACTCTCTGTTTATAAAGAGTCACTGATTTACATTACAACAAATTTTAACCATTTAATTTGCATGAATTAACACAACACATTTTTTATTTCAATTAAGAAATAATGCTGGATAGCCATGGTAGCTGAAAACATTAAGGTTACTAGAATTGTTTGGAAATATTTTTTGTTATTTTCTTTATTTGCAGACGAAAATATAGTGATTTTTTTTTTACCTGCATGTCCTTGAATTTCCAAAATGATTTAATAATAATGCACACTTTCTTCCTCTGTCATTCACCTTCCTCTTCCAGTATGGTGTGGATGTGAAGAGTCGTGACGCCCGTGGTCAGACGCCTCTGTCTTACGCCCGGCGGGCGGGCAGCCAGGAGTGTGCAGACATCTTACTTCAGCACGGTTGCCCCAACGACACCAGCGCCCTGACCTCGGTGCCCACGCCCAACATGAGCCGTCGCAACCCCAACCCCAACCCCAACATCAACAACAACAACGCCCAGTGTGAGCTCAACCGCAGTATCAGCATAATGTAGGCGCCAGAGGGCAGAGGCAGACAGACATTAGAGAAAAGAACCTGCACCACCCTGGTCTCATCCCTGTACTTTGTCCCGTTTCACACTGTGTAATCCAGAAGAGGCAGCAATGGAGAAATATCAGGATGGACTCGTTGTAAATGTTCCACTATGCTGAGTTCAAAGTGGGTTTTAAGGTTAGGACATTGTTTTGTAATGTGTTTTTCTTTTTTTTCTTTTTTTCATTTTAATTGTTAGTTAAATCCATCGCATCCTGCTCTAAAGAGATCAGGATCAGCTTTAAGCTTGAGCTATGTTTTTTAAGCGTCAACCAAACAAATGACTTACTTAGACATTCATACCTACGCTACGAAAAGCATTTCCTTAATGCTCGAACATTTCCTTTTATTTCTTCCCCCTCTGGAACGTGAAGCGGTTCCATAATGAGGGCGAATGAGAAACTTCCTTTAAATTCTCAAGCCCAGGCGTAGTAACGAGAAACCGTGAGGAATTGTTTTCAAAGTGACAAAACACTGATGCGGGAAAGAAACTAAATCTTCCATGATATCAGTGGCTGTTGGAGCTTTAGTAATGATGCATGTCCCCGACACCGCTATCAAACTCTTGACGTACTATTCATACACAAAGGCAAAGCAATAACAGCCGAAGAGTCCAGATGATTTAGATATTTAATTCACAGTAGAAAGGAGATCACTCCATCATAACAAAGTTGATTGCAGAGTTCCTGCGTGGAGAAAGTGAGTAATTTCCCTCAGCCACACTTATCAGGATCCTCCAGTAAAATGTCCCCGACTATAAAGGAATTAAAGGGCATAATATTTTACGACCACTGGGCCACGTGCGTCTGTGAGCGTGCCTCTTCAATCAGAATTCATTCAAATTCCAGAGTGTGATTGAAACAGTGAAATTGCACCATTATCATGTCTTTGTTGGAATCATTCCTCCATTGACAAGATGGTGTTGATAATTGTTTGCTGTAGAATTCATGCAGTTTCAGACCATGTGCCGGCAGGAACATCCTTTCATCTCCTTCGGCCAAAGGCTGGAGCATTTTCTGATTTTTTCTTTTTTTACTGACGGCAGTTAGAGTATATATAGTACATATACTGTAGGTACCCACGTGTGTATGATCGTGATGTTGTTACATCTTTGTCTGAAAGCCATTGAGAGTTTCTGCTCACAGATGATGGAGAAAGGACACTGAGAAGGAAACGTACTGCTGCAGTAGAAATCTAGGAACATAACTGTGTTTTCGTGTACAAACCTCTGTAAAAAGTAGCTCTTGTTCCATGTAACAGTATTAGTTTACTCCAGTGTAGAATGTTCACCCCAACGTTTCCCTAAACTGTATGTACCTAATCCCCGTCCTGAGAACCTGTCAGTCAAGAAGCAGGGAGTTAAAATACACTGTTGACAAACTAGTTGGATAATTAGGAATCAGGAAAATATAGCAAAGTACTAGTTAACGTTAGTATACTCGTACAATATTAAACAGACATGTAAGCCTATGAACTTAAAGGAGCAAGTTGGCTGTTTTCAACACATGCTGCTGTGTGAATACACCATGTACTTTCAGTGGAAACACGAATACTGTACGAGACAGTTTGGTTCAACATAGACTAAGTTATTCAGTTACATTGAAGTGCCGCTCTGCGTACTGTAGCCTCAGCATAACTGCCTAGGTAATGTTAAGTTTTCTTTTTTGTTGTTGTTGTTTTACACAATAGCTTTGGCCAATTAAAAGTCTCAAATATCCTTACAAGTGCTCTGCAACATGAACCAGTTCCTTATGAGACACCACTGCCTGTGTTTCAGTCATTGTGTCAATGTGAAGGATAAAAAGAACAGGTTTCTGTCTCCCTGTGACAACAGTAGGTTTATATTGTTTTTTAACAATTACTCAAAAGATCTGATCTTCATGTTACACAGCTCTTGTAACAGTATTTTCAACAAAACAAGGTGTAGAAAACAGGTTTTAAAGATCAGCCCCTGCTTGTTTATCAATCAGTGAGATATTCTGTTCTATGTTCGACCAAATCTGTCCATGTTTTTCGTCTCTACTGGAAGTACTGTCTAATTCTAAAGAATAGGGATATGTTTTAAACAGGATTAGGTTGCCTTTTTAGTGCTTTGGAAATACTTTAGATATTTACAGTCTGATTTATCTTTTATTCAAATGCCGTATTTGAGATTGCCCTGATTTTACGGATTCAGAATGTTTGTTTACAGCAGGTTTTTAACTGTGTTCATTTGGTTCAATTGTTTTTTTTGTTTTTTTTTTTTTACTGTTTTTGTTTTCCGCAAGGGAGGAAAAAGTAATATCAGGTGCTAAGTACAAAAATTTGACTTGAACATCTAATTATGTGCCAACTTTCTGGGAGTTGACTGAAAAGATGAATGCGATTCTTTTTGGTTTTGCTAAGCCATTTGTTTTCTCTGTACGTTTGCACAAGTCAACAAAGACAAACCAGTGCTGTGGGGTTCACTAAACAGACCCAAGCACCTCCTTCTGCATTTTGAGGTTTTAACAACTGTGACCTGGACCCTGGAGGTCTACCCTAGGACATTGTAAATTCAGAATAGGAACATAGGGTGCAGCTCCCTGTGACACAGAAAAGGTCAGTTTTCATTGGCATGCTTCACTGAAAACCTAAAATATTTGGACTACAAAGACATCAAGACCTTTGTGACCAAAGTTGCTGTTGGTGTATGAGATTTTAGTTAGAATTACTAATACAGACATTTGGTCATGTTTGGTTACTATGGAGCCAGTAACTAACTAAAATCAGAACATTTCTTCTTGAATTCCGGGCTCAGTTTCATCATTTTCTGTGGATGGTCAGGCGTCCAAAAATATCCTTTAAAAAAAACAATAATAATAATTATGCTTTAGGATATTTTTCATGTATTCTGTTGAGGTTTTATAATGTCAGTGGGTTTTTGTTGTCTTCCACCAGTGCTTGGGTTACTATTCATTTGTTTACTCACTTGTTAACTTTGTGTTATCTGGTCAGAGGTGAACAGTGTCTGAACCGACACAAGAAAATAAGCAAATATGCAGATTTGACAGACAAAAATGTCTAACGATACGTTTTCACACAAATAACTGTACATTTTGATATGACTGAACCTGTCCTCCACTGTGGTACTAGCCTTTTTTTACCTAGCCAACCTGTCTCCCATTCATTTGTGTGTTGTCGGAGATTACTTAGAGGAGAATATGTGTACAGTGAACTGAACATGTACTGTAGATGCTGAAAAACAAAACTCTAAATACTGCCTGTAGTTCCCCGGAGATCCACATGAAGTGTAAATATTAGTGTAATCTACAGACGAGCTCATGTCAGAGAAACGAACAGAACCGCATTTTAATATGTTGCTTTTGTTTCTCTTAAGGATTATTTTGAAGGTACTTGTGTTTGGTCCGACCAATGACCAACCGTGTCTGGTACTGGTGTAAAATGATGTATATTTGACATATTTATAATGCAGTATGTAAATATATAGTTTTTCTTCTTTTGTTTTTGTTTGTTTTTTGCTCCTATTGTTACGACTTTACGTTCAGAACGTGAAAACAAAGCAAAAGCTAAAGAGTAACTCGTTGTATGCTTGGATGCTTGGCTGACTGTTGATCTCTTAATAAACACTCAATGACGTAGCCTTCCCGCAATTGGGGGAAATCAATGCATTTGTCCAGAGTTTGTGTCCTTCATTCATCATCCATCATGCTCCTGTCGCTCCTCTGCACCTCCTTTATTGAAGCTGGACTAAAGAGGTGAGACTCACTTTCAGGTCGAAATTTTCCCATTCATTTTTACCAGTGTTTTCACTTTATTTTGTCTCTGTTTTGTTTTGTTTCTCCATCACCATCTCCATCTCACTCCATCTCATCGAAGCAAAAGCTCCATCCTGTTGAGACCCGGAGAACAGGCAGGTCTGTCTTGAGGTAAGCAAAGCACCCGCTCCACTTCCTGCTTGTGGGACCCCCTACTGTTCCTGAAAGAGGATTAAGATAAATAGCCGAGCTTAGTGTCAAGCAGCACAACACCACGAGGAAAAGTGAGCGGTCTCAGTGTTCAGAGGAGTCAAACCATTACTAATCCACTTCTTATTTCCTGCTAATCTTGGCTCGGCATATCTTCATCCACTTCCTCTCTCTGTAGGTCGGCTTTGTTTGTGCTTTTTTACCTGCTGTCTGTTAGCCTTCCTGCTTAAACTTTGTTTCCTAATCTGCTTCTTTCACTGATCGAACTCATATGTGCCCTGCATGGGCTCTTTTTCGAAAAAACAGGACATCTGAGAGTTGCTAAGAGACAGGCATTTGTACCAGCTATTGCATAAAACTTATATATGTACTTCCCACCTTATGTTGTTTATTTAGGGCCTTTTCTTTCATATCTACTTATAAAATAATTGCATTTTGGTGGTGAACATGCAAGAAAACATTTGTAAATTTCCAAAAACTGCTGCCTTAACTTGTGATCACAGAACTATGGTGTAAATAAATGTAATTTACATTGTTATTTAGGCATTAAAAGCACAACATTAAAACATTTAAAGCCAGGTGACATGAGAAAATTACGTAACATATACATAAATTGCAAAGAAGAGTCACAGCAACAAACAATTACAAATGTGCAAATTACAATGACAACAGCAGTAACATTTATACCAAAAACTATATTAAATTACTTGAAAAATACATTTATTGGGATAAAAATGTACTTCACAAACTAGTTGAAAAAAGCAAAACATGTTTAAGTACAAACATTTTTATTTCTAAAAAATAGTTTAAAATTGATAAAACAAATGTACATTTTCCAAAACAAATTTCTAGTTTTTAAAACATTTACATAATAGGTGCACAGGACTGTTTGTTTCTACCCACAGTTTATTCCTAGTCCTGTCCAAAATGTCAGCCTCCCTGAAACAATTGTGTCACGACTTGAGTGTGTGCAAACCACTGATTTACGGCATCCTTAGTCGCCTGAGAAATTAATCCGTTGTGTAATTGAATACCTTTTTTTTGTAAACTTAATTTATCACCGTGCACACGTCTCGACAGGCCGAGGCCACTTGTGTTTGCTGTGTTAGACTGGTGAGCTTGCTTTCACCGCTGTGTGTTTTGATATTTCATCAGGGCCTGCTAAACAGTAAGGAGGGCTCTCTGCCGCCCACCTCTCCTCAGACAAATTGCCTCGGAGATTGCAGAGGTGGGTCTGAGGCTGATGGATGTGTACACAAAGACCTGACGAGAACATATTTGCAAACATTAAATCCATATCACCATAACATGTAGCGTCCGCTGGGCCACACACCAGTCTTAGTGATGTGCCGCTGAATCCTAAATGTTATTTTAAGGCCTGTGTGTTTGTCTCACGTGTTTGTGTCTGCTGGTCTTGATCATTATGGGATGCTGTTGCTCCCTGTCTAATCCTCCCATCGCCCTTTAACCTCTTTAACCACTAATTACTCTACATCCACTCTACTTTCTCCACCTGACCACGTCTCCTCTGTCTAATCCCCTCAGACCTGAACATCCATTTATCAATTTCAGCTCCATCATGTCTAACCAGTGCACCCATGTTGCACTCTGCCCTCTCCGACTGCCTCAAACCCAGGTCTCTGCTCCTCATTTCCATATCCTTGAACCTCTAATCAGTAGATTTCACCAAATCTCTGCCCCTCTTTCTCCAACTCCCTTCTTTCCCTCCATCATCTTCTCCCCCCTTTTGTTTTACATAAACGCTCTGTTCCCATCATTCTCTCCCATTTTTTCTCCCTCTTTCCTCTCCTTCCCTCTCCCCTTCCCTGTTGGCTTTTGCCTGCATTTCTGTGTTAATTTGCCTGAGAATGCATTAGCTGTAATGAAGGCTGAGGGCCGAGGGAATCCTCCAGGGTTCCATTAATCATCTCCCCTCAGACAGGCAACCTTGATTACAAGTGGCAAGAAATTCATTAGAGCCGGGCCTCTGACAACTCTTATCTCCGCCACTAGATCTGACTCATTAGGCAGCCAAATTAAAGCTATGATGGCCCTGATGAAACTCATCGCTTGTTTATCTTGTGCGATTTGATGCATCTGCCCATACATCACTGTAACCGCGACCGTCCGGACCCTCCCGAGAAGTCAGGCCTGCAGTGTAGGCGCTGAGCGGTCTGCGCTCTCACACAACCAGCGGGTGATGAGGTCCCTCCTCTCCTGCACTCTCTCTCCCTCCAGGAGGGAACGTGGAAATGCTCTCATGCAGAGGCTGGAGAAACTTGAGACATTTCCATTTGTGATTCAAGTAGCAGAGTGGCTAATGATTGGCAGTTCAACTGCAGACTTGCTCAAGATGTGATTTAGTGCAAGAAAAATTATGTGGGGTTATTACATCATTAAAAATCTGTTAGAGCCAATCATTAATTGAGGGCTTAGAAAACAATAACTCTGTAAATCAAAAGACTTCTGAGGTGAACGTGTGTCTGTTTTATGACAAATTTCCTACAGCTCGCTGCTATATTTGCACTTTTAAATACATAATTTGTACTTTATATATGTAGTCTATATATCGAGTGATTGACACCAATATGACTTTTTTTTTATTGCCATTTTTAATGCAATTTTTGCAGCCTAAACGTTGCCCCAAGTAGCCTCAGTGACAAAAACACTGCTTGTTCTTACTAAATATTCTATCACTAAAACCATTAGCCACGCCACTAAATGTTGCCAGATTCTACACTTAATATCAATAATGTTAGGATTAAAAGAATCTGTTAATATAACAGGAATGAAAACGGCTCCACTAACAGGAACCTGATAGCAGCTGCCAATTAGAGATGAGTCTCAGAAGTAAAGCTGTGTCATCATCTCCTCCACAGAGGTCAGGGTCACTGAAATAGCTGCTGCACTCTGGCACAACGTTGTGGAATTGGCGGTCTGTATTAGTCAGCTATACTGGAGTGTCATAAAACTTCCACTGCTCCTTCACACCATCATCCCATCCCCATCCGAGTGTCACAGTCTTGATGTATGAAGTGGACTTTAAAATAAACCTTACTATTCATGGAGGCCCAGGTCACGAAGAGGCTGTTTATGCTCTGAGGTCAACCTGAGATAACAAATTATTTTAATCCCAGAGAAGAGAACAGGATGAGTGTGTGATTCCTGGAGTGTTGGAGGAGCTTTTTGGTTACTTAGTTAAAATATTATTTCTCTAAAAACATTTGAGGAATCTCGCCACATCATAATATTTCAACAGGTGCTCCAGGCATTTGGATCAGTTTTAGAAATGGGTAAACAACTGGTTCTCCCAGGTGGGACGAAATTATTCCCACAGCAGACTGTGCTGGAAGGAGCTCAGAGAACGGAGGTGAATCCAGAGTCGTGCACAATCACGGAAGTTTGCTCTGTAAACGTGGAGCTCTCTCTGCTTTTCTCCCCCTCTAACGGAGCAGCGACAGTATGGGGTCCCACTGTTGATGGTCACACGTCATTTAAATGTTGCCACTCAATGATTTTACATCACCATGTTGAGATTCCGTGTTCACTCTGAGTGAGCAGGTCCAGGCATTTATTTAATTATGTCATTATCTCTATATGCATTGCAGATTAACTGGTAGGAAAATGATTTCCTGTTCCTGTCTTTACCAGACCGTGGTGATTGGTACAGGCAGATCTAAATGTTCAACAAAAATTAAGCTATTTCAAAACTAAAAATATTAGTTAGTAATATAACACATTTTAAAACATTAAATCGAGTATACACAGGCGTACATTTATAATTCCCCACAGGTACTTATACTATTTAGTAGTTTTTTATCATTTAATTTCAGAAAATAATAAATAATCATGTTACTTTCTGTAATTGGTTTTACTGATATAGTGCATTGTTGCAAATGGTTATTGTTTAATATTTTTATTCTGTATGATTATGATTTTTAAAAAGGGCTGCTGTGTTAGTTTTTTTAGGAAATTTTTTGACTTGATTCAAATGGAGATCCATCTGTACACTTGTTAAAACATGGTCTCCTGGAAAGAAATCAATCCACGATGCTTATTAAAAAAACATCTTTCTTCCCACATGTCCAAATGTAATGTAAGATGAGTATTAGTGTTAAATTATTGAAAACAAATCCTTGAATATTTAAAATTCAAACATTACACTTGTCACTAACTTCGTTACTCATCTGAAAAATATTTAAAATTTAAAAACATTTTCAACCAAATTGTCAAAATGACAATTATTATTATTTAAAATTTAAAAGGTTTTTTTTTAATAGCTTTGTTGCATTTATTACTGAAGGCACTTCATTGGGTAAGGGCCGTATTTAAATGAAATATTTTAAGAAATATTTCAAAAAAGAATGTAACATTCGGAGGCTGAAACACAATAATGCCTGAATAAAATGGATTCAATCTGATTCCGACGTTCATATAAAACGATTTATTAGGTCTTGATATTTTACACTCGTCCCTTGTTTGGTCATAAGGTCCTTCACATCTTTTATTTCACATATAGCTGTCAAAGGTGGATCCTACAGTCGACAAATAAACGTCTTAAGTTACATGCAAATGTGGTCAACAAATTGTACTAAACAACCAAATATTTAGAAATAAAAAAAGTCCAGAATATTCTTCACCAAATGAGGACATGCACGTAACCAACAGAACATTTTGGCCCTATATATAAATACTTAAAAAATCTTTACAGTCTCATCTTCATAGTGCCCATTTAAATATACATATTCACAGGACAATAAATTAAAAAAAATGACAGCATCTGGACAAATAACGGATCCTCTTCTCTGCTCAGTCTCACCTTGTCAGACAAACAAAATCCTCCTTTCTTGTGCTTCATGCGTTCGACACGTCAGTGGAACAAAGAAATTAAGTGTTCTTTTAAATTAGGATTCAGTTCTCAAACCGATCTGAGATCAGGGCCTGCTCCCCTGCTCGATCTGTTGGTGCTGACTCCTCACCGCAAACCTGTTGACGTGCACCGGGATTGGCACCACGATTTTGGGATTACGCACGGGTTCCCCTGAGCGGTTGTTGACGTTCCCGGCCTTGATCCGTTTCCATTTGGCTCGGCGGTTCTGAAACCAGATCTTCACCTGCACCTCGCTCAGTTTAAGTGCGTGTGCGATCTGGGAGCGTTCGGTCAGCGACAGGTACTTTTTACAGTGAAACTCCTTTTCTAGTTCCAGCAGCTGCTCGCTGGTAAAAGCTGTTCGTCTCCTGCGGCTCTTCCCCGCAGACGTGCCGGTGGCCAGCGCCTCCTGGGAGCCGCTTTTTAGTTTGTTCTTCTGCGTCATGGAGCCGCAGTTGTTCCCGTCCGAGAAACTTTCGTTCTCGCTGTCTACAGAGCTGTCCTCCCGGTCACTGCACACGGTGTCTGCAGATTTTAGGTCCAGCTTCTCCTCGTCTGAGCTGTAAAGTTTGGTCTCTCCTGGAATGTGGGAAAAAACACACACAAATATTTAGGGCCTTAATTCGTGTCATGCCAAACAATAAAAATACACTTTCCACTAAGATGTAAATAACGAGTGAAATTTAACACATTAAGAAAAATGTTAGTGACACAATAACATCTTGTGAACATGATCTGTAACTGGTGTGGCAAAAACACAAATAAAGTAATAATGATGAAGAATAATAATTATAATAATAATACCATTTTTTATATATTTTTTTATAATACAATGTTTAAATGTTATTCACAGTATCTTCCAAAATACTGACAACATAAAACGTTGGAGACTTTTGGTGAAGTAGTGAATTATTTGTTTTTGTCAAACAAACACTCAAAATTATTTTTATGACATGTTCTAGCATTTACAATATGTTCTACAAAGTCACATAATTCCACACACTAAACACTGAATACCCCATCTTAATGCCCACCTCCATGTAGCCCATATTTATTCTATTTAAACGAACGACTTTGGATCGGGAACGATTTTACGCACGGTTTACGCACAATTAGCCATACATATTATAAATAAATAACCGTTAAGTTATTCGACTAAAGTTTACCTGAGATTGTTTGAAAAGTTTCAGAGAAGTTGATGAGCTCAGAGCTTTTGTCCCGGCTGTGCAGTTCGTCAGAGTGCGGACTCTCCTGTCTTCTCGCCGCCGGATCCGCGGCGCTCAACCGGGGCCCTGGGAGTTCCTGCGGCGGATAGAAACTGTCCGGAGGGTCCGAGAAGCTCGGCATGGTCGTCGTGAGCGCCACCATGGATGGGACTCCTTGACCCAAACTGGCGCAGAAAGTGTTGGTGAGCCGTCCGGCAAAAGACGCCAGTGGCGCAAGCGGGGGTATACCAGAGGATAAAGGCGCATGAGATAAAGCCTGTGGGATTACCAGCGGTCTGTAGGGCATGAACATGGGGTAGCCCGTGTAGAGCAGGTGTCCCGGTCTGGGCTGGGGGGTCCCTATGAGAGAATCGATGGAAAACGCCGTTCCTTGGCCGCCGGGTCTCTGCATTTTTGCAGGCGTGCGCTTTGGGTCGGTGAAGTAGGGAGAAGAACTTGGATGCAGGTGTTCCTTCCTTTGCAACGCACTAAACTTTTAGTTCAGAGACAGAGTGGGCTGGAAGTAGATCCTGTGAACTGGAGTGCTGTCATCCCTGGATGTGGACTGCTCTACTCTCCGGGTCTGTGCGCTCTATATGCGCCGGTCAGTGGGACGCTGGGTTGTGAGCGCCACCGCTACCTTTTTGCCTCTTATTTGTCCCACACTGAGACACAAACACACGCTCTCTCCGTGTCTGAGCACCTCTCCCCTCTCTGCGAGTCTAACCTCCGCCCCTCTGTGCTCAGAGAGAGGGAGAGAGAGAGAGAGAGAGAGAGAGGAAGGGAGGGAGGGAGGGAGCGCATTGGTTATAATCTGCAATACAAGAGGGATGAAAAGGAGGTGTTTCCCTGGGGGCTCATCCATCTTCCTCAAATTACGCTTCATTTCCTTATTCAGCCCCTGACTTTTTGGCCGTCTTGAGAGGCGGTAGTTTCCCAGTGGAGACCAAATAGACAGGTCGAGCCCCCCACCCCCCTCTTACCCGTCCCAAACCCTCCTTCTCCCCGTCCTCCCCTCTGTGCCAGGTTCACTATTGACTCCTAAAAAACGGTGTGAGAGCCGCTCCAGCCCTTCCCCTTCCATAATCGTTGACCACACCAACCCAATCAGCTATTATTAATTTTGATTGATGATAAGTAATTACCCTGGATTCAAGGGACAGAGTAAAACAACGGCAGCTTTTGTTGCAATATTGGGGCCGATGGGCATCGGAGTCAGGAGGAGGTGGGACTGGGGGGAGAGGCAGATGTTTCTGCGCCACCGTCCCGCACTCTCTGCGGCTAAAGACAATGCTCCTCGGCCTCAGAAGCAGGAGAAGTGCTGCCGCAACAATTGTTCCCCGGAGAGAGATACTCTGCGCCAAATTAGATCCAGATAAAAGGAGGTTTACACGAGGTCAACTGCAGCGTGGACGTGGACACACAGGGGCCAAAGTCAAATTGATGTGGATTTCCACTTCACACATCTTAAACTTTGTCTCTTGAAGATCATTTGTCAGTTGGACCTCGAACGTAATTCACCCCTGATCTAAGGCACATGTGGAGAGACAGGGAAAAATCACTTTTACTACTCCGTTTTAACTGTGTTTTAATCGCTGATCATGTCACCTTTTAAATGGCAATTGGAACTGATGATGATTGGTCCTATTGAGTCCTGGTGCCCGGGCTCTCCAACTGGTCTTCTGATTGCATGAGGACACAAACATATCACCGCCAGCTCTGATTAGCAGTGAAGGGTTAGGGCTAATTCCTGTAATTGCGACTGACTTCAGCATCACCTCTCTTTGATTTATTGTTACCGTTTGTGGAGAAAACTCTGTATTTTCTTCCCAGGGAAATTTTTTTTATCTCCACCGTGACCCTGCTCGACAGCAGCCTGTGCGATTGTTGTAAAAATTTGCATTATTTGCCTATTTAGTCTTAGTCCGCGAGATAATCACATTTTAACAGTAAATCGCAGTTTATTTTCGTGGTTGCAAAAGTTTTGTGTGGTGCAATGTTCATGTGATGACTGAATTTTATTTTTTAATTTTTTAAAAACAAAATATTCTAATTATAAATAAAAAACAATTATCCCCCTTGCAGATACCCCAAATAGATAGAATTAAGCTAGATGTAGACCAAATATATTTATATAACCAAAAAATACTGTAACAATTAAACAACAATGCTATTTGACTAACCAACATAAATTATAGGCGAAAATGCTAAATGTTGTAAGAAGTTCGTCAACTCAAATACTGTCGCCATATAGTGTGTGTATATATATAAATAAACTTAAAAAAAACGAATAAAAAATATATTGTTTCAATCTCTTCGTTTATTTCACCCTAGAAATACAACAAATCCTGCTGCAGGAGAGGCAGACACACGACAGAGACATTACATAATGAAAAGAGGTATGTATAGACGAAGTATTTGGAATATATATATATATATATATAATATTATATATATAATTTAGATGTAAAAACAATCATTGACAACTTAAAGGGAATTTTTTTTATTAAATACCTCACTACAGATATTCCTACTTTAGACTTGACTTGAAAAAAACATATTGAATAGAAATAATTACTTATAAAAAATAAAAAATAATAACTAATAAGTGCAAAATTTTAAAAAGTGACTACTAACTGAATAAAATATAATACTCCATTGCTTATACTTGCTTTAGCAGCGTCTACCTTATCAACTTAGGTCTCTAGTTCCCTCTGGTGGTACAAAATCAAACACCAAAAACTGTGCTGAATGAATACTGTTGAATGAAGAGAGAAAAGCAGCTGTTTTTCTTTCTCAAAAGTACGTGTAGGTGATGCAAAAATACAGTCAAACTAGTGAATATATTCTTGAGCCAGTGACTATGATTCTCTGCTCTTCAGCAAACATTTCTATTTTCACGCTATTCTCTAGATCTAGTGGATGTAGCCTCTGTAGTCCAGGAGCAGGTAGTTCTTGATGAAGGTGGGAAGGTCCAGTTTGGGAACCACCTTGTGGACTCGGGCCTGCAGAAAGGTCCTGAGTCTGCAGCGAGCCAAGTGCTGCAGGGAGCGAGGCGTCATCGCCAAGGAGAAGACAGACTGATAGAATTCCTGGTGCTCCTGATGGAACACAAATGCACAAACAAACTAATATCACGAAATAATAATTTACGTCATGTCTACTAAAGCTCTAAATGGTCACCTTTTAACTTAACCACAGGATGCAAACAAATTATTCAAAAAGTACCTTTAAATGATTGAAATTACCTGAGTTTTTTCCTATAATTTCTGCCTATAATTGTATTGTATATGTAAAATATACCCTAATATTTTGCATGAAAATACCACAAAAAAAAAAAAACAAACAAACAAAATGAACTGAATGACAATCAGGAAACAATCAGGAAACAATCAGGAAACAGCATAACTTGCCTTAAAAACCTCTTCAGGAACTGACTCAACCCATGTGTCTGTGACTTTGAGGTGACTATAGCCATTCAGCAGAACCTCAATGGTGCGTGGAGATGCACAGCAGTGCTTTAGAACCTGACAGAACAGCAGAGAACAGAACACAGAACACAGCCTCAGAATTCATGTCACTGTCATTCAAGTTCACAGGCGAGCTTGTGACTCCTCCATGAACATTAGAAGTGAAAAAATAAAGTAATTAAACACTTGTGAAATGAACAGATTGGTCTTCCCTCCAGGGGTTTAACTGGAAATTATGCAATTAGTGCTAATTAATCTCCTATTAACACTTGCCTAATTAGGAAGCATGCATTTTGTCTTGCCAACGTGGGTTCAATGATAGTTGTAGTCTGTTTCCCACTGAGAGTGCAACACTTCATGTTGTGTCATGAAATGGGAGATGTCTGTGTGTGTGTGTGTGTGTAAGTGTGAAGAAGTCTGAATTATTGCACAGAACAGTTTTAGTGTTTCAAGTCTTCTAGTCCAGGTGTTACATGTGCTGTACTTAGTATTTATGGACAGTGATCAGTTGTCCATGCTGTGAATAGGACACTAAATAACCTTTAAGTGTTACAGACAGAAAGACAAAAATTCCAGGTCTTACCAAGGGCAGAGCACCAGGCCACACCCGGATGGATCCATGGTTGAGCAGAGCACGGACGATCCTCTCAGGCTGATGGGAGAGTTTGCACCACACTACCTTCAGGATGTTGTGCATGGGAGCCTCACCTCCATAGTCCATGTTGTTCACACAGGCTCCGTTAGCCATCAGCAGGTCCACCACGTCTGGATTTACGTTCTTACAGGCCATGTGTAAAGGAGTGTGCCTGTCATGGTCCATGGTGTGGACGTCAGCACCCGCCGCCAGCAGCAGCTGGCAGACCTTGAAGTACCGCTCAAGATCCTGCAACTTCTGAGGCTGAGAACAGGCAATGTTCAGTGGAGTCATACCCTCTTCATTCTCTTTGTCTACTGCGGCTCCGTAACGAAGGTACATCTCAGTGTGGTCTGGAAGGCCGTACCTGGCTGCTACGTGCAAAGGTGTGTCATTTTCATCAAGAGTGCGACCACTGATTGCTGCACCGAACTGCAGGAGATATTTGGCACACCTGCAGGCAGAGGCACCTAGATTTACAATCAATTAACATGTTTATCCTTTATATTCATGTTAAACATTAACCTAAATTCTTTACTAGTAATTCTTTTTCCTCTTAAATCCCGACTTATCCTTGCCAACAAATGCTAACTCATAGGGTTGAGGCTCCTTTTTGACCCAATCTAGATACAAAATAACAATAAATGACCTAATTTGTGTAATTCTTTATAATTATGTAAAATGGCAACAGTGTTTAAACAAAAAATCTCTCTCGGTGTTAAAGAGAATTGCTTTCCACTAAAAAAGCCATCTCTCTCGTCTAAACTTCATTCTGACCTGCAGTACTCACTCAAAAGATTCTGGGCAGGTGCACAGGTGCAGAGGCATGAGACCCTCCTCAGACACAGAGTTGGCGTTGGCCCCATGCATCAGCAGCAGCTTGGTGCACTCCGGCTGACAGTTTTCACAAGACTCGTGGAGAGCGGTTATGCCACCAGGCGCCAGATCTATGTTGGCCCCACGTTGCAGCAGCAGTTTCAGGCAATCTGTAAATCCTCGACCAGCCGTGATGTGGAGTGGGGTGGTCAGTTCCTGCTCGTATGTCAGTGACCACAGTCCTGCCAGCAAAAAGAGCAATTTGAACAATGTATTTTGGGGCTTTGCAGAGATTGTAAACAAACAGATATGCAGCATTTTTATCAGAGAATCAAGGTTCAGGCACAGAGATAATTTACATCAGTCTAATATAATAAGATCAAATATCCAGATCTGTTTGCTAACACACAAACCTACTGAGGCCTCTGTAGTTAAACCTGAAATTCTTCCATTCTTCTATGTTGCTGGTGTCAAAAATAGCATCAACAAGGTAGTCGTACTTGTCCTCATCTATAATGCTTAGGATGGTCAGCTCATCACCAACAAGCAGACAGTTCCAGAACTGTATGACACAACCCGTAGCCTTGGCTGTGCTGATTACGTCGCTGCGATATGTCTTCCTTTGGTGCCACTTAGTCTTAGGTGCTGTATAAGCCATCCTGGATCTAATGTTGTTATAATTTGTTGTGTTGCTGGTGTGTGTTTTCTCCAGCAAGAAATAACCTCTAATGTTGCTTGTTTGTGCAGAGAGGACTATTTCAGGGAGGTGATATTTGATATTGTGCTTGACCTAGGGAACGTTGCCAGGAGCCAATGAGTGGGGCTCTACACATCACCTGCTCACTGTTTCAACCCACTAGTGAGGTAAAAAAAAGTATAGAATGTACTGTATAAAAGTCATGCTTTGTGATATCACTCATAAAAAGACAGACGACCAACTGGTTTATATTTAAAGGTTTTTACTAAACCTATTTTGGGGAACCAATGCACTTCGAAGCAATGGCGTAACAACTAATATCTGTCTTTTTATACTCTTTACCACCTGAGAAAATATTGAGCTCTCTGAGTACCACCATGATGACCAACATTAGAATTCCCCTGCTCGTTCCACGTTAAACTTGCAAGTGACCCCATGTTTCCATGCTGCCTGTACTTACGGGAGCAACAGACTTGCATTGCGGCAAAAAAGTAAAAAATATAAATAAAAAAATATATAAATATATATTTCATAATCTCACAAGTAGCTACATATTTTTCTAAAAGTTGTATTAATTGTGCATGGTAAGTTTCAGATTTATTCAACTAAAAATGCAAATGTGAAAATATGATTTTTCTCCACGTACCACTGGTGGTACACGTACCACAGTATGAGAACCACTGTTCTACGCCATACATTGATAGCTGCATGACACGTCACTCCTTTCTTAATTGCACTGGCAGCTGCTCCGGTGTGGCCGGAGCGAAGGGCGAAGGCAGCTGCTCCGCTGTGGCCAGAGCAAACGGCGAAGGAAGTAGCTCCGGTGTGACCGGAGCGAAGGGCGGTAAAGCGAACGCAGTTGCTCCGGTGTGGCCAGAGCGAAGGGCGAAGGAAGTAGCTCCGGTGTGACCGGAGTGAAGGGCGGTAAAGCGAACGCAGTTGCTCCGGTGTGGCCAGAGCGAAGGGCGAAGGAAGTAGCTCCGGTGTGACCGGAGCGAAGGGCGGTAAAGCGAAGGCAGTTGCTCCGGTGTGGCCGGAGCGAAGGGTGCATGTAGTTGTTTCGGTGTGACTGCAGCGCAGGGCGTGGAAGCGAAGGTACATGTTCCGGTGTGGCTGGAGCGAAGGCAGCTGGTTCAGTGTGGCCAGAGCGAAGGGCGAAGGAAGTAGCTCCGGTGTGACCGGAGCGAAGGGCGGAAAAGCGAACGCAGTTGCTCCGGTGTGGCCAGAGCGAAGGGCGAAGGAAGTAGCTCCGGTGTGACCGGAGTGAAGGGCGGTAAAGCGAACGCAGTTGCTCCGGTGTGGCCAGAGCGAAGGGCGAAGGAAGTAGCTCCGGTGTGACCGGAGTGAAGGGCGGTAAAGCGAACGCAGTTGCTCCGGTGTGGCCAGAGCGAAGGGCGAAGGAAGTAGCTCCGGTGTGACCGGAGTGAAGGGCGGTAAAGCGAACGCAGTTGCTCCGGTGTGGCCAGAGCGAAGGGCGAAGGAAGTAGCTCCGGTGTGACCGGAGTGAAGGGCGGTAAAGCGAACGCAGTTGCTCCGGTGTGGCCAGAGCGAAGGGCGAAGGAAGTAGCTCCGGTGTGACCGGAGTGAAGGGCGGTAAAGCGAACGCAGTTGCTCCGGTGTGGCCGGAGCGAAGGGTGCATGTAGTTGTTTCGGTGTGACTGCAGCGCAGGGCGTGGAAGCGAAGGTACATGTTCCGGTGTGGCTGGAGCGAAGGCGGCTGCTGCGGGGTGGCCAGAGCGAAGGGCGAAGGAAGTAGCTCCGGTGTGACCGGAGCGAAGGGCGGTAAAGCGAAGGCAGTTGCTCCGGTGTGGCCGGGGCGAAGGGCGAAGACAGTTGCTTCGGTGTGGCCGGAGCGAAGGGCGAAGGCAGCTGCTCCGCTGTGGCCAGAGCAAACGGCGAAGGAAGTAGCTCCGGTGTGACCGGAGCGAAGGGCGGAAAAGCGAACGCAGTTGCTCCGGTGTGGCCAGAGCGAAGGGCGAAGGAAGTAGCTCCGGTGTGACCGGAGTGAAGGGCGGTAAAGCGAACGCAGTTGCTCCGGTGTGGCCGGAGCGAAGGGCGCAGGCAGTTGCTCCGGTGTGGCCGGAGCGAAGGGCGCAGGCAGTTGCTCCGGTGTGGCCGGAGCGAAGGGTGCATGTAGTTGTTTCGGTGTGACTGCAGCGCAGGGCGTTGAAGCGAAGGTACATGTTCCGGTGTGGCTGGAGCGAAGGCAGCTGCTTCAGTGTGGCCAGAGCGAAGGGCGAAGGAAGTAGCTCCGGTGTGGCCGGAGCGGAGGGTGCATGTAGTTGTTTCGGTGTGACTGCAGCGCAGGGCGTTGAAGCGAAGGTACATGTTCCGGTGTGGCTGGAGCGAAGGCAGCTGCTTCAGTGTGGCCAGAGCGAAGGGCGAAGGAAGTAGCTCCGGGGGGACCGGAGCGAAGGGCGGTAAAGCGAAGGCAGTTGCTCCGGGGTGGCCGGAGCGAAGGGCGAAGGCGGTTGCTCCGGTGTGGCCGGAGCGAAGGGCGAAGACAGTTGCTTCGGTGTGGCCGGGGGGAAGGGCGAAGGCAGCTGCTTCGGTGTGGCCGGAGCGAAGGGCGAAGGCGGTTGCTCCGGTGTGGCCGGAGCGAAGGGTGCATGTAGTTGTTTCGGTGTGACTGCAGCGCAGGGCGTTGAAGCGAAGGGACATGTTCCGGTGTGGCTGGAGCGGAGGCAGCTGCTTCAGTGTGGCCAGAGCGAAGGGCGAAGGAAGTAGCGCCGGTGTGCCCGGAGCGAAGGGCGGTGAAGCGAAGGCAGTTGCTCCGGTGTGGCCGGAGCGAAGGGTGCATGTAGTTGTTTCGGTGTGACTGCAGCGCAGGGCGTTGAAGCGAAGGGACATGTTCCGGTGTGGCTGGAGCGGAGGCAGCTGCTTCAGTGTGGCCAGAGCGAAGGGCGAAGGAAGTAGCTCCGGTGTGACCGGAGGGAAGGGCGGGAAAGGGAAGGCAGTTGCTCCGGGGTGGCCGGAGCGAAGGGCGAAGACAGTGGCTTCGGTGTGGCCGGAGCAAAGGGCGAAGGCAGCTGCTCCGGTTTGGGCGGAGCGAAGGGAGTTGTTCCGGTGTGGCCGGAGCGAAGGGTGCATGTAGTTGTTTCGGTGTGACTGCAGCGCAGGGCGTGGAAGCGAAGGTACATGTTCCGGTGTGGCTGGAGCGGAGGCAGCTGCTTCAGTGTGGCCCGAGCGAAGGGCGAAGGAAGTAGCTCCGGTGTGAACGGGGCGAAGGGCGGTAAAGCGAAGGCAGTTGCTCCGGGGTGGCCGGAGCGAAGGGCGAAGACAGTTGCTTCGGTGTGGCCGGAGCAAAGGGCGAAGTCAGCTGCTCCGATGTGGGCGGGGGGGAGGGGCCAAGGCAGCTGCTCCGATGGGGCCGGAGGGAAGGGCGAAGGCAGCTGCCGCGGTGTGGCCGCAGCGAAGGCGCCTGATACGTTGTGATTAAGGCGAAGGGCGAAGGCGGTTGCTCCGGTGTGGGCGGGGGGGAGGGGCCAAGGCAGCTGCGCCGATGTGGCCGGAGGGGAGGGCGAAGGCAGGTGTTCCGGGGTGGCCGGAGCGAAGGGCCAAGGCGGCTGCTCCGATGGGGCCGGAGGGAAGGGCGAAGGCAGGTGTTCCGGGGTGGCCGGGGCGAAGGGCCAAGGCAGCTGCTCGGATGTGGCCGGAGGGGAGGGCGAAGGCAGCTCCTCCGGTGTGGCGGAGCGAAGGCAGTTGTTCCGGTGTGGCCGGGGCGAAGGGCCAAGGCGGCTGCTCCGATGTGGGCGGAGGGGAGGGCGCATGTGGTTGTTTCGGTGTGGCTGAAGCGAAGCGCGTTGACTCGAAGGTAGCTGCTCCGGTTTGACCGGGGCGAAGGGCGGAGGCAGTTACTCCGGTGTGGCTGGAGCGAAGGTAGCTGCACCGACGTTGCCGGAGCGAAGAACGAAGGCTGTAGCTCCGGTGTGGCCGGAGAGGAGGGCGAAGGCAGCTGCTACAGTGTGGCCGAAGGGCGAAGGAAGTCGCTCCAGCTGCCTGCGCCCTTCGCTGCGGCCACACCGGGGCAGCTGCCTTCGCCCTCGAAGGTAGCTGCTCCGGTTTGACCGGAGCGAAGGGCGAAGGCAGTTACTCCGGTGTGGATGGAGCGAAGGACCCATGTATTTGTTACGGTGTGACTGGAGCGAAGGACGGTGAAGCGAAAGCAGCTGCACCGACGTTGCCGGAGCGAAGAACGAAGGCAGTAGCTCCGGTGTGGCCGGAGCGAAGGCGGGTGGTCCTCTGTGATTGGAGCGAAGGACGCGGGTAGTTGTTACGGTGTGAGCGGAGCGAAGGCAATTGCTCTGGTGTGGCCGGAGCGAAGGCAGTTGTTCCGGTGTGGCCGGAGCGAAGGGCCAAGGCAGCTGCTCCGATGTGGCCGGAGGGAAGGGCGAAGGCAGCTGCTCCGGTGTGGCGGAGCGAAGGCAGTTGCTCCAATGTGCCCGTAACGAAGGGCGAAGGCAGCTGCTCCGTTGTGGCCGGAGCGAAGGGCGAAGGCAGTTGCTCCGGTGTGGCCGGAGCGAAGGGCGAAGGCAGCTGCTCTGTTTTGGGCGAAGCGAAGGCAGCTGCTCCGGTTTGGGCGGAGCGAAGGGCGCATGTAGTTGTTTTGGTGTGGCTGGAGCGAAGGTAGCTGCACCGACGTTGCCGGAGCGAAGAACGAAGGCAGTAGCTCCGGTGTGGCCGGAGCGAAGGCGGTTGCTCCTCTGTGATTGGAGCGAAGGACGCAGGTAGTTGTTACGGTGTGAGCGGAGCGAAGGCAGCTGCTCTGGAATGGCCGCGGCGAAGGAAAGAGGTGAGAGTTCGCAGGCGGC